CCTGACAAACACATGTTGAAGAGCAACAAGTGCCTCAGGGTTAAGAAGCTCAGCTTGCTTTCTAGTAAAGGTATTTGCCTTCTTATCCATGTCTTCTGGTTTTACTTATTTTTTTTGTCACACTGAAATAATTCAGATTGTTATAATCTTATCAAGAGGCAAATCTAAACTTATGAAACTCAAAAGTACCTTTTCAAATCATGACTTAATTCAGCGATGAAAAGAAGCAATATATTTCAGCTTGACTCTGTTTATAAAAAAAAGCAACAATCTCCCACCCCACTGGCAAATTGTGGATAAACTATGATTAACCACAGTTTGGAAAGCCGAGATCAATTCTACAAGCCACACCCTGGTTTAACTACTTCCAGTCCTGTGGAATCAAGAAACCAGTTTAAAGGAGCCTATCAGACAACATAAAACTGGCTAAAAGGACCAGATCTGAGATCAGATAATAAAAAAAACATAAACAAGGATGATTGCAACTGTCGGTTTAGAAAGAATAACAATATTGTCTTAAGAGTTTTTTGACACAAAGAAGCCTTTATCCATGTATAAAGAAAACTGTCAGTGTTTCACCTCAGCATCCTTCCTTCCAACAGCCATCAGACTCTAAAGGCTGATTTATACTCTGATCTATACCAGTTTGTCTGCATGTGTGTTGCAGTTTTTGTCAGGACAAATGTATATGATCAGTGAGAACAAGTGTCGACTGAACCAAAAGTTAATCATATCATAAAGGAGAGATTTAAACAAATAAAGTACAGAAGAAAGGATCAAAGTAAGGACATAAGACCAGAGATGGGAAGTAACGAAGTACAAATACTTCATTAATGTACTCAAGTAGATTTTTCTGATATTTTTACTTTACTTTACAACTTATTTTTATGGCGACTTTTTACTTCTACTCCTTACATTTTTACACAAATATCTGTATCTGTACTTTCTACTCCTTACAATCTCAGACACTCTAGGGCAGGGGTGCTCAAGTCCAGTCCCCAAGAGCTAACATCCTGTAACTTTTAGATGCATCTCTTCTCTAACACCTGAGTCGAAAGGCTCAATCCCCTCATTAAGCCAAGCAGAGGCCTAGTAACGAGCCACTCATTTGATTCAGGTGTGGTAAAAACTGGGTGCATCAAAAAGCTGCAGGATAGTAGCTCTTGAGGACTGGGTTTGAGCACCCCTGCTCTAGGGGAGGAAACACAGGTAAGTGACCATGATAAACTGATATATGATTATCTGGGTTGGTCACTTACCTGGTTTAACAGTCCAGACCACGAGTGTCCCCAGTGCTCCAGTCCCAGAGGTCATGCTGGAAGCTGATCCTGGTGAGGGATCCAGAACAGACAGGAACAGGCAGGATCCAGATCAGACAGGAACAGAGACAGGTGGTTAGGATCCAGACTTCCAGGCATGCACAGGCTTCCAGGAGGGTTCAGAGTCAGACTGGGACCAGAAGCATGACCAGGTGGTCATGCACAAGAGCAGACAGGATCAGGTGAAGACAGGCAGGCTCAGTGGAAGAGGGTAGCCGAGACAGGACGTAGGAACCGGAACTTGAAGCTGGACTTTAAACTGGTCTCCTCCCTGGAGCCAGGCTTACTTTGATAAAAACTGAACCTCCCCCCATAATGAGCCAAAAACCCAGAGGACTCCACGGGGGAGGAACAGTGGATGATCAGGAGACAAGACAAACACTAAAACCCTCTTTCCACTGGCAGCTAGGATCCAGGACATGAACCATGACAAAAAACCAAACAGACAGACTAACAGAAAGACAAGTAATGATCTGGCACTGAATGCTCAGGCTGAACTGAATATAAACCAGAGGAAACAGGTGAGGGGAATAAATTATGATTGAGGCTGGGAAGGAAGAAGGCAGGTGAGAGGAATTACTAATTAGGGGAGAGCAAACAGGCCAGATCATGACACTACGTTGCATTTGACGCACCACTACAAGATGAATCGACAGATTCGGCGGTATTCATTCGCGGCAAATCATTGCAGCTTGGTGGCGGTGGCGTTAGCATAGTAGTATGGACGACGAGATGACTGAAAATGAACACAACGGAGATCTAGTCCTATTGGCAGACATCCATTTAAAATGTAGGCAATGGCATGAAAAAAGTGGTTTCTACTTTTACTTTTATACTTTAAGTAAATTTACAAGCCTGTACTTTGTTACTTTTACTTGAGTAAAGAAGTTTAAGCAGTACTTCCACTTTTGCCAGAGTATTTTTTAACACAAGTATCTGTACTTTTACTCAAGTACGGAAAGTGAGTACTTTTGCCATCTCTGCATAAGACAGGAATGAAGTGAATAATGTCAGAATAGTGTTTATTTGGTCTTTATTTAATCCAAAAACCTTTAAGAAATGATTCTCATTTAGTGATATTAGGACAAGTTCTTGGATTGGAAAAAGAAATGGCTTATCAACTGAAATCTAATAGGGTTCGACCTCTTTTAGAGTCCACCCTTTCTTCTGTTTGGGTTTTGCATTCCACCACGAGCAGAAAAATGAACTGAGAGATGGTATCAAATGTTAAGAGAAGTTGCATGCTCAGGCAGCTTTCATTCTTACACGCTGTTGTTGCTGCTGCTTTATGCGTCTTTCCTTCCTTGCCTCAGGGAAGATCCATCTCCATTATACTGCCTAAACCAGATAAACTAGTTGCCCATAACTGGGAGCACAGTGTCGCCTCCCTCTGAGGCTGTGCATGCTGACAGATTTGCAGGAAGTCACTTAATGTGAACTGCCAACAGTTCTGCAGTCCTGTGATTTGACACCTCTTTCTGGATCGTGGTCGTTGACTTCCTGACAAAAACAGGTAGTGAGTGCTGAGAACTGTACCCCACCTGCTTTTCACCAACACTGAGTGAAGTGGACTACTGTTGAGATTTGGTTGAGTGGAAAACAACCGCTCCCCCCACCGTAACATTAGCAAGACCAAAGAAATGAAGGTAGACAACAGGAGGCTGCAGGAGGCACCAGGTCCCTGCTGAGTTTTTGAAACATTAGTATGCACATTGTTAATGATCTTTACCGGCTTATCAATATAAGCACTGTAAAATATGTTCTGTTCCAAATACCATTACAGGAATTTACAGAAGGTTTCAGTTCAACTTTTTTTATTTTTATAATGACTGATCAAAACTACACTGCATTTCATTGGGATACTGAATTTCTACATTTAATGACACATGATTAAAACAGGATCGCCTAACTAATAGTGAAATTGTTCCCAAAGGGATTCACAGAGATAATAAGTGCAACAAAAAAACATGGCGGTAAAGGTATCATGCTGTGGGGAGAGGTTTATGGAATGAAAATAGCATTTAAGAGACTGCTACAGACTGGGCGTTTATATAAACATAATTGCTCAATAAAACAGTTTAGATGGCCTAGTTAAAGTCCATTCCAAATTCTGTCCAAAATCTGTTGTATGACTTGAAACCTTTGTCATTCTTTAAGGGCAACACGATCATTTGCAAACAAATAGCAACATTAAAGACAAAGTCTCCTTTCAGGCAGAGTCACTCAGGCTGTTTTTGCAAGAGGAAATAATACTACTGCTATTTCTACAACTAATATTGATACTACTAATATTAATAGTAAAAAGGTATTCATATACTCCAAGGATAATGATGTAAATGTAGCAAACATTTGATTTAATTATAAACTGATGGGATTGAACTATAAAAATGCATCACATATTTTATTTCTTTTTTTTATTACTATTACTCTTTTGGATCCTGTTTTGTCATGATGCTCTGGAGCTATATAATAGCCAAACAGATTTGCTTTGACAAGCAGAACTTGGTATTTACATAAAAATCTGTTTAAACCCGGGAACAATCGGCTTTTAGTGGCAGTGAGAACAGCTCTCTGGCACATGACATGTGCAGACCCATGTTAAAATTACCTCGGCACTGATCGGCATGCAGTGGGCACACCAGACCAAGGTTGTTCCACTAAATTACATGACACCATTGAAAGCAACATACGGACATCAACACACCTTTGTTTACATTCGATAAACATGCAATAGTGAGAGGGATTCTGACATATAAAAGAGTGAAACAATACAAAATAAAACGAACCACGCTCTGGCTTCCTTACATTTAGCTCTCCATTGTTTACTTCCCTGATTTCCATCACATTGTCGAAATCAGTGACCACGAAGCTTTCTAGCAGGGGGTCAGACTTGGCTTTTCAGTCAAATGGGAAAAGAGCCGAAAGCCGAATGTTAGCGGTTTTGAAAAACCTGGGTTTTCAGTGGGAAAGCTTTATTAGAAATGGTTTAGGGAAAAGAAGCTTAAGCAAAAGAAATGGAGATGGAAAGGGAGGTGAGAAAGGGAAAAATAATTAAGGTGGGGGAGAAAGAGATAGACTGAGAAAAAAAAAGCAAAAACAAAGAAAAAACCACAGAAATATATAGTAGCTCCTCTAAAATACAATGGTTAAACCATAGCTACATATATGGATATGTCTCTGTATATATGGCTGACTTAGAGGACATTCTATTAAACTGGTTCCCTGGTTTTACAGCTCTGTCCATAACCAGAAGACAAGCTTGTCAACTTCCTGCCACACATGTTGTCAGTGAGGAAGGTCCAAAGTGATCTACGCCACCCAGAGCACAAACTGTTTACCTCTTTGCCATCTGGCAGCCAGTATCAATATCAGACTTCTGTGCTGCGGGATCAGTAACAGTTGTCTGTCCTAAAGCCTTAAGGCAGGTTACCTCCGCACCACTCTACCAAGTCATCACCTCAGTCTGACGAATTGGTTTCAGCGCCATGTCAGCAAGACATTTAGCCATATAAGGCAGCCAAACGCTGCATTTAGTTGTAGGTTGGTTTTAATCTTAGAGGTTACCTAGACGATGGATGGAGGGATGGATACTGCACTGCAAAAATGATCTAGAAATAAGTAAAAATTCCTTAAATTAAGTGTATTTACCCCTAATTTCAGTAGGTAAACAAGATGATCTGCCAATGAAATTAGTATTTTTACTTTTAAAATTAGATAATTATGCACAATGCAGTTTTTTTTCTTTTTTTAAATGTAAATTGTCTTGTTCCATTGGCAAACTGCCTCACTTACCTCCTCAATTCAAGACAAAATGCACTTATTTTAAGAAAAAATGACTCATTAAGATTTACATTTTTTGCAGCTGGCAGATAAAACAGCTCCATTTTAACTGATGTCTTCACTTTCTCCACAGTATTATGCTAAAGCTGGCATTGTGTGTTAAAAGAATGTGTCTCAGCAAATGTTGGAGGGAGCATTGTAAAAATTCCTTGGCTGAGTTTGTTGAAGGTGCTGCGGCTTACCAGCATGCGCTAGAGCAGCACCTCACTGGTGAGAAAGGGGATTCAGGTTTTCCACTTTTTAAATCATAACTAATACAAAGGACAAAAAAGTGGAGCATAATTCATGTCTATCTATAAATATAATCAACATATGGTTGTTTTTATTTAAATATATAGTTATATAAAGGAACAGACATGAAATCCACCTTTTTGTCATGTAAGCCTCACTCTAATTGTTCTGTCACAAATAAACAATATTCGCCCAAGTTTCCCAGAAGTCTTAAATTTAAAGGAGCAGCGTTTTTCAGATTACAGCCTAAAGGCAATGCCAGCCGGTTTCCCAGTCATATTTTAAATGGATATCCTCCTGGGAGGCAGCGAGTTAGTGGGCGAGACCTCAGCTCTTTGTGTACACTGCAAAATAAATACACAGCTGCTGACAATGGGAAGGGATTTATTTGCTGTGTTTGAGTCTGGTTACAAATGTCAAAAGCTCTAGTCAAACAGCAAACTTGTCTATGAAAAAAAGTGATACAATTCATCATTTTCACTTTGTACAACATTAAAGTGTAGAGAATGTAGAGCCATACAGGCCGTCTGCTGCCAACTGGAAGCTTTAACGACATCCTAATGGGGGCAGCTGTACATAAAAATGTAAAATTATAAACAGCTGTTAAAAGGGTAACACCTGGACCAGACATAAAATGACCAGTGCTATTTGAGCTGGTATTAACCTGGGGGGGGGGGGGGGGGGGGGGGGGGGGGTGTTATCAGATAAAATCGTACTACTTTCAAATTGATATTATTGTTTAAAGTAGCAGGAAACTATGAGTTTTAACGCTTTTTTTCAATTTACTTAAAAATTACCATTGCTCTTAATGTAATAAAGCCCTAAAAGGCTTTTAATGACTGAAAGCCATAAGGAATTTATGTTGGCTCAGATTGGGCTCATTTCAGGAAAATTATCCCTGTGATTTTTCCTGCTGATATTTATCTCACTTTAAATGCAACAGGCAGGGTAGTATAGCTTAGACAAAAATGTCTAAATGTAAAAGCTTCTTTAGATCCATCCATCCATCCATCCATCCATCCATCCATCCATCCATCCATCCATCCATCCATCCATCCATCCATCCATCCATCCATCCATCCATCCATCCATCCATCCATCCATCCATCCATCCATCTATATTTTTTGAAATCATAAAGTAGAAGATTTTCATAAACTGTATAAAGCTAAATTATACCCACTCCATTCTTATTTGGTGAGAAAAGAAGAAAGTTCTCTAAAAAATCCCTAAATCACCAGCTTTCAAAGAGATATTAAGGCAGGTACAAAATAGAAGAGATCAAAATTTAGAAAAGTAGGAAAAAAGAATTACATACACTGGAAAAAATATAAACCTAGATGAGTCATTTTTTCTTAAATTAAGTGCATTTGTTCTTTGATAGAGGAGGTAAAAGTGACATTTTGCCAATGAAACAAGACAATTTAGACTTAAAATTAGAATTTTTTTTTGAATTGTCTTATTTAAAGTTCATATAATCTAATTATCTTATTTTAAGAGAAGAAATGCTGATTCCATTGGCAAACTATCTCATTTACCTACTCAAATTAAGGGTAAATATACTTAATTTAAGGAACTTTTTACTTATTTCTAGATTGTTTTTCCAGTGTACTGCCTATTTAGGTTGTTTTTGTCCCTACTGTTTCGTTTGCTCGGCTCCAAATCAAAGTGTCACTTATACTTGTGAATTTTCTTCCTATTCTAAATTCCTTCTATTTTTTTCTGTAACCAAACCATGTTGTGCCCATCTTTACTCATTGAGTATCTATTTATTTTTCATAATAGTCAACGGCTCTGCTGCATATTTCACATAGAAAAAGTTAAATAGTATAATTTAAGCCAAATGTATACCATGCTCTGGATCTCAGATTGCAACCCCAGCTAGTGTTTTTCTTTTCCTTTTCCCCTCCATGCATGTGTGGGTTCTCTACTGTTTCCCACAGTCCAAAAACATGACTGTTAGCTCAACTGGTCTTTCCGAATTACCTTTGGTATGAGCGTGTCTTCTTGAGGAAGTTTTTACTGTGGATCTACAGGCTGCTCTGTGATGGACTGGTGGCTTATCCAGGGTGTGAACCCCTTTTCTCCCAACGCCTGCTGAAGATGGGCACCAGGTTGATGCTAATTGATCTCCACAGAAACGCTTTTTGTCGAGTGATTTGGTTTCCTTTTTGATTATTAAAAAAAAACAAAACTACAAATGTATAACAGGAAAAAAGTATAAAATTATACAGTTATTTTTGCCTTTTCATTTGTTTCTAATCAATAATCAGGGCTACAACTCTTCACCAGTGAATTTGTTGTTTTTAAAGTTTAGGAACTATCATAGAACTTATTTAAAAGCTACGTTAGATGAGGAAACTCTTTTTATTCCTCCAACTTCCTTTACGTTGGACCATTTTTAACTGGACCGTGCCTCCTTTTGTTTTTACAAACAGCATATTATGTAGTGTTTGAATCTTAGTGTCCATGCAATCTGGATTTCCTGTTCATGTAGTTGAGATATGAACCTCTGAGCTCCCTGGAGCCTGTCCTAGGGGACCGAACACACTCTGTAGGTCCAAATAAATCGCTCTTTCATCACAGTGTGTGTGTATGTAGTTCAGTACTGTAGGCTCTCTGTGTTGCAATGACAGACACAAACCAGCTGCCCACATTCCTCTCTCGCTCTCGCCGTCTCTGCTGACTTCTTACAGGGATCTCCCCTCCCCCCACTGCTCTGCAGCATGTCCCACACATACCTCTGGCTTGCCATATATACACACGTCGACCCGTTTACAGTCACAGAAGGGAACTAGGTAAGGGTCAGCTGGATGTAAAAGTGAAATCCTATAGAACGGATTAAAGTTTTCCAGGTTACACCCTTTGGACTGGGTTTTAAAACATCACATGCAGCTACGTCTCTTTCCACCATGTTACAGCAAAGAACTGCCCCTTCAGCTGGATGATCTATTTCTGTTTTGTAACATGTAGTTACCATGACTGCTGCTTCAATGTGGTTTTTCTTTACAGCAAAGGTTTTCTATCCAGGAAATCTTATAGGAACCTATGTTTTAGCTCTTTTTGGCTGTTTTGGGAAGTGTAGGAGCTTTTAATTTAGTTATGTTAAAGTCACCCAGCAGCATTTTGACTTACAGGGATTTATGCTCCTTTAATTTGTGGAAAGTCATGTATTATAAAGTATATTCTAACATAAAAAACCCTAATGCATAGTTATTGTCTTTCAATGATATTCATCCACCGTGATCCTTTTTTGCACTTTATATATACTTTTTCTGCCACAAACCAAAACCAAGTACACCACTTGTATTTGTATTTAAGCCTCCTGTACTTTATGAAATCCAATGCAAATTAACTGTCTTCAAAAGTCGCCCAATAGATAAATAGTTTTACTTTAGCTCTGTTGAGTCAACACCTAAAGCCGTCTTTTGCTACAGCTCAAAGTCTTCTGTTGAATGTTTCTTTTGGCACATCTAGATGCTGAAAACTGAATGGAGAGTTAAAAATTTTTTAGGCCTGCAACAGATTCTTAATTAGATTTAGGCCTGGCCTTCCAGTCGGCTATTCGTTCACATGAATGAGGCGACGCCTGTGAGCTAGTTCAGGCAGTCAGCTGGAGCTATGCTGCGTCTTCACACGTGATCTTTCTAGCACCCCGTAGGATACATCAAGCATACCCTAATGAGTTGGCAGCATACCTCCAGCTGCGGTCTGCACAGCATGCACTTCACCTGACTGGCTGCATTTTTAGGGTAATTTATCTACTGTCTTTTGAAACCTCTAACAGTTTTTTGTAGGGATTATCCTCCATCTTGCTCCATCCATTTCCCCATCAAATGTGGTTAGATTCCATTATGCTGCCATAACTGTGCGTAAATTTTGGGATTGTGTGCTTAGGAAAATGTGAAGTGGAGTTTTTGCCTTTTCCCAGCAGAGAACTTCCTTCCACGTTTGATGTGTTCTCTACTTGGCTTGTAGAAAACCTTGTATGGATTTCTTAGAGCTGTTTTTCACTACAAGCCTTTATCCCAAAATATCAGCTTTTTTTTGGAATGAATGATTAATAGTTGACAGATTCTCCTATCTGAGCTTTAAATCCTTGCAGCTCCTCCAGAGTTGCCATGGACCTCTCGCCTGCTACCTTGATTAATGCTTTTTCTGTTAAGCCTAGTAGTTTAGATCCATATTCATGTATTGCTATATTTAATGCAACATAATCCCATAATGCAACAATGCAATGTCCCATTTCAACCACTGGCTGCTTGTAAGAGCTCTTCTTTTTTTTAAATAGACCCCATTAGTGCTGCCTTTGATATGCCATATACATGCCAAAAGTCAGTCTAGCTAATAATATTCTCTATGATCAAGCTGACTCTAGAAATCTTAAACTATGTCAGTTGTTAACTTATCAATATGAATATCATTCGGAGTTGTAGAGAGATTTAAAACAAAAAAACCATAAAATCTTGTTTTTTTTTACATTTAGAGTCATACAGTGCCGATCGAGCTAGCAGGTTATTTTTTATGCAAGCCATTGTTAGCATAGCAAATACTAAGTTAGTTGTTTTGGCACGTGCATAAGAGTGTCATCAGCACACATCTGCAGACTCACATTAGTACACTGTCCATTAGTATTTGAGCTAAATAAGTAAAGGGACCTAACACCAATCCTTGTGGGACCCCCATAGAGCATGACAGATAATTTGGCCGTGCATCACAAAACTTCACGTCTCAGGTTTGCTAAATAGAAACATAAACCAGAACAAGAACTCTGTGAGTTAAATTAGAAAATGTGGATATTAAAAAATGACTTCCATTTTCTTCTAATGGATTGGATAATGCTCCATCAGATGCTCAAAAGTTGCGATGCGGTGGAGCCTGCTAAATTTCAACCGTGACTTTATCCCTAAATATCCTGCTGTCTGTCCTGGTCTTCATGATGTTTTTTCACTATTGTTCTCTAACAATAAATCTCTTGGCCCCTAATGAAAACAGCCACATTTATACTGGAAGCAAAGGACACACAAATACTGACTTTATCTACTACAGAGGAAACTTCTGAAGCTAGGGCCTTCGATTTCTTTAACCCTTTATTGAGCATTCAGTGAAATACTTTTAAATTCACGATTTCATGTCAAGAGTGTTATTGGAGAGTCACAGATTTTCCTCTAGAAGTTCCTCTATAAGAAAATATGTTAAAACACACAGAAAGAAACACATTTTTTGTTAAAACATAACCTGCAAAATGTGTGCTCATACAACCTTTTCTACTTAGCTTTTAAAGTTTTAACTTCATTTTTTTTTTAACTTAATTTACAGTAGGTAATATATATCACACACAGTAGGCAACATTAGATGATACACTATGCTTTAATGCAGGGGTGGACCTTTCAGATTTTGCAGAAAACATCAGATCTCATGATTTCCCCTTGTTCCCTGCAAAGTGGCGTTTAAATCCAAGTTATCAAAAATGGTAACTAGCCATATAAAGTGTTTAAAGGTGTCAGAATATATTTATATGCTATAAATATTGAAACATTCACCACAGCTATTCTATTGGTTGTTTTTCTGAAGAACTTTAAAGCTATTTTCTGGGTTTTTTTTTCCACTTTCACAATTATGCACTACTTTTTATTTGTATCATAGCATATCATATGCACTAAGTTTGTGGCTTTAATCTAGCAAAGAGCCATAAGGGGATTCAAATAATTTGTTAGGATCTGCAGCCTATGATCTCTAAGAATGTTTAGTTTAATCTGAACGGCTGCCAAAGATAAGGGCCAAAATGTGCATAGCAAGCATTGCATTGCCTAAGCAGCGCCTTATATCTGATAAGAAAGCAGGAGGGGCTAGAGGATTTATGCCAAAAATTTATAAACAGCTCCCAAAATGTATTTTTTAGGACCACACCCAAAGACAACGCTAACTGCAGGTACACAAAACACCAGGAAATCCAACTCTAGTGTTTCTTTTGCATATTAACCAAGTATTTAACTTATGAATCAGCAATGGTGAGAATGTTTGTCAGAAACACTTAAGCTTCTGGTCAGACCAACTTGGTGAGCCAACATGTCCTGTAAGCTGAAAATCTCCCTAACCAAACTAAACTGTGTTTTTCCACATCAGCTCAACATTTAAATAGTTGTTCAGTGTTGGGTTTCACATGGCAGCTCAAATACTTCACATAGTGGTTACACTCCAGTGCAGCAAACGCACGGTCCAAACCATCGAAATCCTTTTTGGCTCCGTTCATCTCGTCAAGGTCCACTTTAAACGTATTTTTTTGGCCTTTTTTCCTCTTCTTTCTCTCTCTGTCTCCCTGCTGCTGCAGACTTAAGAGAAAACAGTGACCGACTGTCTGGAGACCTACTGGAACTGCCCACAGCTGCTTGACCGCTGCAGACACTATCCACAAACATATGCGTGGACACAAACAAACAGCTATAGTTAGACGAGAGGGAGTGCGTCCCATTTGACCCGGTGTGGCTGCTAACTGCTGAGTTTTACACCACAGGAAGAAAAAAAAAAAAGTAGGAGGCAGGGACAGAAGCTCATCACTCTTGTCTCCAACTGCTTGGTGGCCAAAAGCCTGTGTTTGGACAAAGCTTATGTCTTTCCTTGTAGAACGGCACTCAGAGCAGCTTCACCGGACTGATTTCTCTTCATTTATCATCCAGCTCTAACAAATCATCACATTACAGACTTAAATTAGAATCAATTGCTGTAAAAGTCAGCAGTGATCTTTCTGCTGATTCCTAAAGCAAAACATTTGTCTTCTGCATAAACACTGTTTTTTTTTTTTTTTTCATAGAAAGGTCTTAATGGTTGAGATGATTGGGAACATGGTTTTGGTTTGACATAGGTTTACATTGTACGCACTTAATAAATAACACAGCTTAAAAAGACTGTTTATAATATCCAGGAAATTGATGCATTTCAAGTTGGAGGATGTCCAAGCTGCAGCTGCAGTATAGTTTATGTTAAGGGTTCCCAGACTTTCCTGCTGGAGATTTAGGACCTCCATATTCACTGCATGGCTACAACATGGAAACATTAGCAGTAGATTGATAGGACGTAAAAAACAAGCATGTGAGAAATGAGGTCAGCATAAGACAGGCTATGTTTATCAGCTTTGACTTATAGAAGTTGATTATTGATTTTATTAATGTAACACATCATTTAAAAGACAGAAAAAAAACTTTGCTTTGAAAAGAAAACATAAAAATGTACAGTTTTAGGTGAAGAATAACTTTAAAACTTCAATTTCTATCCTCAACTGAAATTAATATAAGAACACATCAACTCCTTACAGTTTAACCTCTTTTAAAATGCTGTTCATTAAATCTAATTGTTTTTTTAATGAATACCCAAAAGGCAACAGAAGATCAGCAGATGCATGATGGGAGACCAGATTTAATAAAAAAAAAAAAAAGATCTACTAACGGATTGAGGGATCAGGGTGAGAGAGTCCAGCAGTGATGGAGAGAAACCAACTGTCATGGAAACCAGGTGAGCACAATCAGCAGACCTAAACGCAGCTGATTGGGAACTGATCAGACTGCTGAGATCAAATAAACATGGAACAACAAAGAACAAGTAAACAGAGCTGGTGTCTCGATCCGCACCTGTTTTCTGTTTCTGTTGATTGCTCTCACCTGTTTTCCATGTAGACCCACTTCACATCTCTATTTAGGTTACTGTTCCCATTTGTTCCTTGCAGGGTTATCTGACGTTATCCATCTGTGTCCAGAGGAAGACAAAGATTAGTGCTGTTTGGAGAGGTCAGTCTAATAAATCATTTGGAAGCAAGAATAGAGAGCATGTTTGCTGTAAACTAAATTTGGCACTTAATGAAAAAATAAGTGTATACAAATGTTGAAGCATAAGGGAGGAAGTGACATGGTTTGGGTTTGCTATGCTGCAGCAGGATATAGCTGGCTTATTATCACAGAATCCATCATGAGGAAAATGTAAGAAGATCGGAGGAAAATAAGAAAACAAATCAGAACCAGAGTTACCAAAACCAGTAAATCCAGCAAAGACTGACTGAGTATTAAGAAGCAGAACATATTAAGACTAGCTACAAGTTGTAGATTGTTTATTTTATTTCAGGTAGAAAAGGCATTTTTGTTGTTTAATATAAAACAGATAACTATTTCTCAAAAGTGCAAAATATTTTTAATTCCTGAAAAAAAACTATTACCATAAGATGCGAGAATTTCAACATTTTCATTAATAACTGAATATTAAATTCAAATCTAAAGCTCATATATACAACATTGTTTTTCTTTCATCTGTTTGCTTAAAAAAAAACGTTCTTATAAATGATTTTATTAACTCAAATAAATTCACAGAGATCATCTCCAGACTTATGAGTTGATTAATTAATTGATTGACATTTAATGATCTCACAGTGGACAAATTTACTCGTTACATCAGCGCAAATAGTCAAAGAAGAAGAAGGTGATAAAGGAAGAAAAAGGTGCATGGAATAGATACATTATATACAGTGTGTCCACATATGACATATTTTTCTTTTTTTTATATATGGCAGGATTATTATAGAGGGTTATTGCAGAGGGTGTATACATGGGTATTTATATACCTATATAAGTTGTAGAACTGCTTTGAGAAACTCTGAAAATCAAAAACTGTTGTTGATTATTCTGCCAACTACACATTCTTTACACATTTTGCAGAATGTGGCTGCAAAAACATCCTGATCCTGTTAAATTAAAAAAAAATTGTATTTGTCCCATCAGAATAATACCATGAAGGTAAATGCACATTAATAATGATGAACTTTAAAATTGGTGCCGAATTTAGCCCCATGTCATAAGATTCACAATCCTTGGCTTGTTTTTACACTTTGAAATATTACAATCAAGAGTTGGTTTTGTTTTTTACCTAAAAAAAGTGGAGAAAAAATTGAAGTGGAAATGAAAACTGTTACAAAATGTAACTTTTTAGCCAACACGGGAAACACAATTGTCAAGGAAAAACAATGGTGGCAGGATCATGCTGTGAGGACGCTCCTTTCATTCATCAAAGACAGCAAAGCTGGTGCGAACTGATGGATTGGTGGACGATCGCAAGACGTCTCAGTGTGATACATTTGAGAAGTCCCCTCTGGAGTAATCCCAGTGGAGTACAGTGAAGCTTCAGATCAATATCTTCACTAACTCCAACCTTATTGTTATAGCAATGTGATCAGCTCTGCAAACAAAACTGGAGAGCAGCAAATTAAGATATGCTGCTGGGTGTGAGGAGATCAGACGTGTTGTTTTTAGACAGTGCTGAGATGCAAAATTGAAATATATGGAGCAAATCTGTCCTTTTGAAGGCTCAGTGAAACGGCAAAACAGGAAAAAAAAACATGTGGACAGTTTTTAGTCTAATTTCTATGTTAAACAGTGGTGTCAAAAGTACACACATTTGTTACTTAAGTAGAAGTATAGATACTGCAGTTTAAAAACACTCTGGTAAAAGTTGAAGTATCAATGTGACCTCTTTACTCAAGTAAAAGTGAAAAAGTATGTGCTCCAAAAACTATTTAAAGTATAAAAGTATGGAGTAAATTGTGAAGTAACCTTAAAAAAAAAAAAAAAAAACAGCCAGATGCCACTATATGAATTGAAAGCTCCATTTTTCGACTATTTCGAAAAATTCTTTGAGATAGAGCCAAAGACGAGGGAGGTCTTGTTGGTCTCCGTCTCCCGATATGCTCTCGCCTGTGTCCGACATTTCAGACATTTCAACATCTTTTTCTGAATCCGAGATTGTAGCATGGCATAGACAATTCACGTTCACAGTTTGAAGAACACCTGCTCGCTTCTGATGATTTCCTTTAGCTAACCAATGAGTGTTTGCGTTATATGACTCATCCGATTACACTAGTTTTCACTAGATGTGGATAGCGCTGATGATCTGCATTGGATGGAGCACATGACGTGAAATATTTATAAACTTTAAATCGAAGCCATTAAACCATTTGTTTGAAAAATGTAAGGAATAGAAAGTGCAGATACTTGTGTGAAAATGTAATGAGTAGAAGTCAGAAGTAGGAAGAAAAATAAGTAATGGAGTATAGATACCTAAAAAGTGTACTTAAGTACAGTAACGAAGTATTTGTACTTTGATACTTGACACCTCTGATGTTAAAACAGTAAAAGTATAACTTAATAATGCCTGGATTTAGTTTCTGACTTGATTAACTATATTCTCTTCCAGACATAATAGCTACGTCTCAGCTTTTAATGGGACTAAATGAAAGTGATTTCCTGAAAAGTTAAGCAGAGCTCATTTGCTGTTACCTTTTCTGACATAGAAAGTATTTATGGATCAGTGCCATGTTAATTTAGTATGTTTGCTTCTTTCTCCTTTAACCCTCAGTAATTCAGAACTGTGAGAATTTTTCATGTTAAAATTATTTTTTTCTCTCCACTGTTGCTGCATGCATACTTGGTGTGAGCTATTGCTGCAGAGTCAACGACACAGTGCAATTGATGGTCTACTTTCACGACCACATCTAGAAGGAGTGTTTCCTCCACTGACTCAATGCAATCAGCTGGTTTTCCTTAGATAGAAAATGTTAAACCAGGCAATCTGACTGGATGATCTGGTTGTCTGTAAAGTGCCTTGAGATGACATGTGATATGGGATAGAATGCTTACAAAGCCTGCAGTATAGATAACTGCAGAGGTTTTCTTTTGGGACATCCTTTGAAAAATTTGAGCTTCATGAATGCTGTTGGACAACAGAAAGAAAGGGACACATTGTTCCAATTCTGAGGTTTGTGCATTCATTAGGAGTACGTTTTATAACTGAATTTAAAGGCATTTCAAAGCAAGAAAAACCCTTAACATATTTATCAGCACCACTTTTACCAATGTATAACTTATCTTGTGATAAAGTTTAAAGAATAATCCACACAAATGTGATGTTTTTTTTTTATGTGTTGTAATTATTATACATCAATGGCTCGATCCAATCAGCTGGGTTTCCTTAGATAGAAAACTTTGAACCAATGTGTTTGGATGATTTTATTAACTTGTCTCCATAAAGAGTCTTGAGATGAAGTTTGTTGTGAATATAAATAAAGTGATTTGAATGTAATAAAAAAAAAATACCCTCTGCTCTCAGAAATACTTGTTTCCATTGGCTGTATCACATATAAATACCATTTAAAGTTTATATTGTTCTCTTTCTCCTCACCAAATGCAAAACAGAAAATTATCCTGCCTTCTCCTTTTGGCTGAAGCTCTCCTCCTTTTTCTTTCCCTTCTCCCCCTGCCCTCTTTGACCTTTCTCTTCTTCCTGTCCCATCCCCCCACTGCAGCCTAACCCCCACCTCCTTTTATTCTCACTCAGGGCAGTAATACACCAAATGCAGAAGGGGCCACCATGCAGCCCCCCTCCTACGCTGGGTTGTCCTTTGGTTTGACTGATCATGGTGCCACAATAAATTACAGCTGCTTTTAGCTGGGTCTTTTTTGTCCACAATGACGAAACAGTTAGGGAGCTGATATTGCTTCCAGCGAAAGACTTAACCACATAACCGCATGGGGTACCTGTTCATATTTGAAGCTTAAGATGTTAAAATCCGCTTTGGTTTCTGTTTTTCCTATGGTTTACTTACTGTGTTGCAGTGTTTACACGTCCTCTACACAGTAAGAGGCTCTGTGTGTGAGCTTTGGAAATGAAGAGAGGTCAGCATTGCAGCGGCAAACTCAAGTAGTCTCAACTGTCTTTAATGTGCAGAGAGGTTTTAGGTATGTTCTGTTAAAAATAATACAAAAACATACCCATGCACTTTGGATATTGTTTTGAAAGAGCCAGATTGTCGACTAAATTCATTCTGAGGATTAGATCTTTGGGTTTTAGAAACTTAAATTTTGACATTTTTGTTGCAACATACACAGTAATCATTCAGGCAAGAAAAACAGCATCTTTCAAGAGCTCAATTGGCTTTTGGAAAATAAATAACACATCTACACCCATTTATTCATATAAAAACATATCAATAAAGTTGTAAATTGATTGTAAAAACAACAATCTCTGTCTGGAAGATCAAAGAGACAGTTTCTGCCCATGAATGGACTGGAAACATTTGCAACTGAATGTTTTAATTTGTATTTGAGACACAGTGGTTCTTTTTAAGTTTGAAAGAGTCTTTTAAGTTTTAACTATGTACAATTAAACAATGCAAACACTGATTATTATGAAAAAAGATGAAGTTAAATCACTAACGTAAATAAAAAACAAACAAGGAAATGAAGGAAAGCAAGAACAAAAACAAACCAAAAACATTAAGAGTTCCTATATTTATATTTGTAAGACCATGGAAATATTACTTGAGGCAGAAATATATATCTTATAGCATGTTTTTGGGAAATAGAATAGAAAATCCCTTTTTTGTCCCACAATGGGGAAATTCTGATGTTTACAGCAGCAAAAAAATCATAGAAAAAAATAGTCAAACGAATATGGACCTTAGAAAAATGTCTAAGAACAACATAATTATAAAGAGTTAAAAGATAAACAATAACATACTTTACTGTAAAGTGTTTTAACAGTATGAAATACTGGTATTTGTTTTTTATTTATTTATCAGAAACTAGTAATTAAAGAAGAACAAAAAGTAAGCTATCTAACTGTCATTTTATCAAACAAAAAAGTAAAAGAAGGATGGTCAAAAATCAGAATTTGTTCAGATTCTTTTCTTTTCATCATTAAAAATAATCAAAACATAAAATCACAGGGAGAAACCAAAAATTGATCAATCTACTAGTAATCTGAAAACTTCCATGCTTCCAGTATCACAAAAGCAATCTATATGAATTTACTTAGAGCAGATTGCTCATATAAGATTATTTTCATAATTGTCTATTTTTAATGGTGAAAAAAAGAAATCGAAACTATTTTTGTTTTACATAATTTAACTGATTATTGATGTGAGAATTCGATTCTGAAAAAAATGCCACTCAGTCGTCAACAGAGATTTTACTTTTTAAATAACATCCAAAGTGTAAAAAACTTCGTCTGTTATTAAGTGTTGGAGGAAGAAGCTAAAATATCTAATTAAAACGAGCGAAGATCCCTCTAGAAAAGTTAATTGTTAGGTTAAAAAAATCTCTGGTGTAATGTAATTACAGTAACATATTTTCCTGCTTTGGGGAAATGAAGACCAATCAACATCGAGTCCTGTAGGAAAACAAACTCTCCGATTGGCTGAAATATGGAGTCGGTTTCAAGGCCGCCCGCTCTCGATGCAAAAGAAGGGGGTGTCTCCTGAATGGAATGGGCGCCTGGAAACCGGCGGAATCCTCACGGAGAGAGTGGAGCGAGAGCCTCTGGACATCCAACCGCCCAGCATGTGAGCCGACGCTCGGTGTGAAGTTTAGCCGAAAAGCCGTGGAAATACTGTCCGGTTCTGTGTCTGGTTTGGGGATTAACTAAAACCCGAACCCACTGAGGTTTTTTTATTTAGATTTTTCTTTTTTTTTTCGACAACGTTAGCTGGGGTGCAGTTTTTTCCACCGAGTGTGAGTGAGGAGTGGACTGCTGGAGTCACTTACAAAGAACATTAAGAAGTCATGACACGACGAACGTTTTCCTTGGATTTATCTTCATAAATTACAAGAAAAAAGTCGGTGTAAGACGCTCAAACTCAACCAAAGTGGACTAAAAGTGAGGAGTTTGGACGATTATTGTGGAATTTTCGTCGTTTTCGGACGTTTTTAAGTCTCCATACTTGGATCAAAGTTTTCCTCTCCCTCCCTCCCCCCGCCTCCTCCTCCTCTCCAGCTATGGCGGCGGCCAGGTTCACCGCTGGCTCCACGGTATTGCGGATCATGTGGCTGCTGTGCGGGATTTCGCTCTCCCCCACCTCTTCTGCTCAGCATTACAACAGCGATAGCGGAATATCAGTCCCGGAGCACGGCTTCTGCCAGCCCATCTCCATCCCGCTCTGCACCGACATCGCCTACAACCAGACCATCATGCCGAACCTTCTGGGCCACACCAACCAGGAGGACGCCGGGCTGGAGGTGCACCAGTTCTACCCGCTGGTAAAGGTCCAATGCTCTGCGGATTTGAAGTTCTTCCTTTGCTCCATGTACGCGCCTGTGTGCACAGTGCTGGAGCAGGCCATCCCGCCCTGCCGGTCGCTGTGTGAGCGGGCACGGCAGGGATGCGAAGCCCTGATGAATAAATTCGGCTTCCAGTGGCCGGAGCGCCTCCGCTGCGAGGCTTTTCCGGTCCACGGAGCCGGAGAGATCTGCGTCGGCCAGAACACATCGGAACCGGGCGGCCCAGCGGCCTCATCAGCCCCCCCACAATCACTGACCCTTCCCCCTTTGAGCGGCGGGCCGAACCCTCCTCGCCCTCCTATGCCCAATCAGCCCAACCAGTTCTCCTGCCCCCTGCAGCTGCAGGTGCCTTCCTACCTGGGCTACAAATTCATGGGGGTGAGAGACTGCGGCGCCCCCTGTGAGCCCACCAAACCCAGCGGGATCATGTATTTCCGGGAGGATGAGGTAAAATTCGGCAGGCTTTGGGTCGGGATCTGGTCCATACTGTGCTGCGTGAGCACCCTGTTCACTGTGCTCACCTATTTAGTGGACATGAGCAGGTTCAGGTACCCGGAGCGACCCATCATTTTCCTGTCCGGCTGCTACTTCATGGTGGCTGTGGCCTACGCTGCTGGCTTCTTCCTGGAGGACCGGGTGGTTTGCGTGGATAAATTCAACCCGGACACCTACAGGACGGTGGCTCAGGGGACCAAAAAGGAGGGCTGCACCATCCTCTTCATGGTGCTGTACTTCTTCGGCATGGCCAGCTCCATCTGGTGGGTCATCCTCTCCCTCACCTGGTTCCTCTCAGCCGGGATGAAATGGGGTCACGAGGCGATAGAGGCCAATTCCCAGTACTTCCACCTGGCTGCGTGGGCCGTCCCCGCCATTAAGACCATCACGATCCTCGCCATGGGTCAGGTGGACGGAGACGTGCTGACCGGGGTGTGCTTCGTGGGGATCTTCAACGTGGACGCGCTAAGGGGCTTCGTGCTCGCGCCGCTATTCGTCTACCTGTTCATCGGCACGTCCTTCCTGCTGGCCGGCTTCGTGTCGCTCTTCCGGATCCGCACCATCATGAAGCACGACGGTACCAAAACGGAGAAGCTGGAGAAGCTGATGGTTCGGATCGGGGTGTTCAGCGTGCTCTACACGGTGCCGGCCACCATCGTGATCGCCTGTTATTTCTACGAGCAGGCCTTCAGGGAGCAGTGGGAGCGCACCTGGCACATGCACACCTGTAAGCGCTTCGCCATCCCCTGCCCGGTGCACAACTTCGCCCCCATGAGCCCGGACTTCACCGTGTTCATGATCAAATATCTGATGACCATGATCGTCGGTATCACCTCCGGGTTTTGGGTCTGGTCCGGGAAGACCCTGCAGTCATGGAGGAGTTTCTACCAGCGCGTCAGCAACGGGAACCACGGAGAAACAACGGTGTGAAAGCCTGAGATATCAAATGAGGTCAAAAAGCTTTCATTTCAAAATCCCTACAAAAAAAACTAAATTTTAGTAGTTTTTTTCCCCCACTGTTGTGGCAGCAGCACACAACATTTATAAGGAAGTTGGATAAACTTCCAATATATTCATTTTTTCCTATATTTTGTCATCAAAGCAACCTGAAGCCATGGCTTTAGTACACTTGGACCATAAACTGATCATAAATGGCCATGCAAAGACTTAATCCTATATATACACACATATATTCTTATGTTACAGTTCGAATGTACGCCCTGTTCAACTTTAAGTTTGTCAGCGGACTATAAAAGAAACAATTTTTCAATAAGGATGTTTGGATTATACATCAATAACTTGAGTTTGTAGAGTGCATCCTCATCGGTTTTCCAAGGGGAGCAATAATCATCTTTATCATCTGTTGATATGTGCCAAGGGGCTGCCTAGATTTCCCTTTTTATATATAAAAAAATCGCTCCGACTGATGAATATTCACTTCTTGTTCTGAATGTTCACTCTGAAGTTGAATGAAGTTATGTACTGGTTTGCACACTGATTTTAAATGTAACTGTTACACCACAGATTGACCCAGATCTGGCTTTTTTTTTTATTTTATTATTTTTTTAAGAAGGCCACAGACACACATGCATGCAGAACCTGGAGACACAACGGCTCATTGTTAGTCTCTGTGTGTGGTCTCTGCTTTTGGATTATCCATCAAAAAAAACTTCTTCTTTTTTTCTTCTTTAAATCCCTTAAGACACCCAAAGCACCATTTCGGTGATCCAGATTTAATCCGTGGGAGAGCAAATGGTTGTTCTGGAGCTGTAATGTTATTTTATCCCAGATAAAATGACTGTAGGCGAAGTTAGCTTTGGTGTAACTCGTCGTTTTTCTTCTCATTTCACATGAAGTGTTACGTTCTTGCAAGCCGACTGAACATTTTTAGATGTTTTATTTACTTGTTTTGAGTATTTGGGTTGTTTTGTTTTTTATTTTTTTCCCCCATCGGCCTTAAAATCGGAGTTACATGTATGTTCTCTGTTACAGGACTCCGATAAATAGTCAGGAGGTCAAACATAGCAGGGTTGATCTGTTTAGCAGAGATTTTTTTTTTTCTACAAAGATGGAAGATATGTTAGAAAAAAGCAGGTCCAAATGCAAAGGTTGTGATTCTAATAGAGAAAATGGCCTCAGCTGGTTTAGATTAAAGGTAACCTTTAGTGTTTTTGATACAAGATTTTATAGAAATAACACAAATAGGCTTTGAAGCAGAGATTATTTTTTAAGTGAGACGCCTCCTGTTGAATGTCTTCATCTAATCTTGATCCCATCATTAGGGGAACTGCTTACTGGAGCCGACTCCACGCCTGCAGCGTTTTTTAAAGAAAGTGACTTCCTCGTTCAGATTTTTGTCGAGAGTCAGCTGCAGGCTGGCGTATGACTGCTAGAACCGTCTGTTTCTTGTCTCGTAGCACATTTTCTCCACATGCTTCAGTTCTAAACAATGAATGGGAGCAGTCTGCAGCGATGAGGGACACGTCACAGCAGCCTGACCCTCTACAGACCTGGCTTTATGATTTCAATTCCCTAAAGGTGCCATTTTTTAAATATATTAACACTAAAACTGTGCATACTTTATACATTCATGCTGTATTTGTATATACAATGCTGTTTGTTTAATGTTTTTTTCCTCCTCACATGGATGTACTACATACCTCAAGCCCTGGTTAATTTCTGCTCATTTAGTCATTACATTTTTACCAAACAAGTGATTCTGTTACTTTTCCCAGACTGACATGTGTTGTTTGTGTGTTCTGTCCTCAGAAGGAATACCAGTTTTTTATGTCTTCAAGTTTTAACAGGAACATATGCAAACCAGCCAGCACACAGAGACTCTGATTTTTAAAATGCATATTGTATTTAAGGGGGGAAAAATACTCTTTTTTTTTTTTTTTTTTTTGTCTTTTTTTTTCTACTTGTATTTTTCTAAAAAAAACAAAATGAGATAAGCCCATTTTACATGTACAGTTTGAATAAACGTGATAAAGTTTGTAATGTGGTGATTATCATTTGTGAGGCGAGATAAGTTGAGGTAGTTGACAAAACAAGCGTAGGGCAAGTGGACCTTGAGTTCTTGTTTTGTCAACATGAGTGTTTATACTGAAAATAACTGATAAGTTAGCCTTCAAATCAGAGCTCGGTGTCGGATAACTCTTTCAGCGAGGTTACAAAATCTGCCTTTATCAACGTTTCCAAAGACATCCCCAAAAAATGTTTGAAATCGGGACAACTTAACTGTGCAGCTGTGTTTGATAACTCAAATAGGATAAGTCCAGTTCTTACACACACTTTCAACACAGCAAAGAAATAAAAACTAAAAGCCAAGGAGATAATCCTATAAGCTTATTATAGCTGATTTGATTTCAGCAGACCCTTGTTTACGTTGAGCAGTCTATAAACAGATAATGGAAAGGATAAAGATGCATATAAAACCTCTGAAGGGGTTAGATCAGCTGACTGGAAGCTGTAAACATGAGCCGCATTAAGGAAATCAACACTGATTGGAGTTGAAGCTGTTTTACGGTTGCAGGCCTTTTCACTTGAGCCCTTGTCCTTACTTTTATTTAATCTGTCGATCCATTATTATATCACTGCGCATCAACACTGCAACTTGTTTTCAAGCTACTGGCGAGTCGAGAATGAAAGTGACAGCATTTGTTTTTCAATAAACGGTACGTGAATTGAAAGGTGTAACTTAATCCTTTAGAGGACTTTTTTGTGCTCTGCCCTGATGCTTCCTTAGAAACAAAAGAAATATGTCATCATTGTTTTGACAATGATTAGCTGCAATCATCACTATAAACCACTATTCATTCATTTTCTTTAAACTTAATCCCTTAAATGACAGTTTTAAGAATGGATCAGACTAAAAATTCATCTTATTAGGCATAAAACCCCACAAGATTCTAAAGATAAAATGTTTTTTAGAGTGTTTTATCAACAAAAAAAGGTTATTTCTTATCTGTTTCCGGCTCTTATAGTGACAAGACTTTTCCTCCACATTCGCTGTGATCAGTTTTAAATCTTTGTCTAAAGTTTATAAAAATGCATTTATCTTACTGGTATTATTTGTATTTTAATATGTATATTAAGCCTTTAAAAATCAACAGTTTTATTTTACCCCCTTTAAAAAAGAAAAAAATTAGCCCCATCTTTTAGAAAAACAAAACATAACATTTTTATATGGTTTCCACACTATGGAGCTTTAAAAAAGCAAATTTTTATGGAAAATGATTCCAAAATGCATAAGTGAACATAAAAAAAAAAAAAAAAAAAATCAAAATTGAGCATGAATTACATATGCTGTGTGCATTAATAAAGCAAAGGTTATGCTAAAACAAGAGAGAGTAACACCATTTGCAGTTGGTGACAGTTTGGTGTAATTAGTTTAACCATTTATAATTTAAGCTAAATAGAAAAATGTTCAATGAGCCAAAATTTTGGATTTGAAGCCATTTTCTCAACATGTTTAGAATAGAAGAGAAAATCCCTTTATTGTCCCACAACTGGGAAATAGTGATGTTTAGAGCAGCAAAAGGTTATTGTATACGTGCTCACATAATAAGAAATGCCCTGTTTACTGAACGTACTAATGCTTACTGAATAAGAAATTGCTTACGTTTAAAGAAATAATTTCTGATATTAAAGTATGGGAACCAAATGTGTGGAGGCTATTAACCAGGAGATAAAAAGAACCAAAACCAATTATTTACATAGAAATCAGCGGTGAACATTTTCCTATCTTGGATGGAAGCAAAATAAATTTAATAATAATAATACTCTTTATACTTACAACCATTTAAATTATTATCTAGTGTTCTGCAGCCATTCCAGTTCTATTTTTTCTCATGTAAAATCATGTTATTAAATTTTTAAGGCCATGAGGAGACCCAAAGCAGTCACAGAGATCTAATCTGTGAGGCCAGACATCATTTTGGGTCATCGACTATCAAAGTGCTCCTAAAACATCTCAGAGCCAACAGATGCTATCACTGTAGAGGACAAGGTTCAGGCTTTTCCATCCCTGCTTCTGACTAAAATGGCTCAGATGGTAATCTAAACAAAAGCACGCAGGCCAAAAAGGATACAATAGTAAATTCCTAAATCCACACTCTAAATACTCTATCCCACTTTACACTAATTGTTTCCAATTTACATTGGCACTGTAATCCGCTGTACAAATACTGAAACCTCCACTTATACTCTTTGCTTTTTTTCAAAAGTGCCACAGCACCACAGATTGCTGAGTGAACTGTAATGATTCATCGCCTTGCAGCTGTTTTACACAACCACCAGCAGGGGGCGCCAGGCACCTACTAAACAGCTGGAATCAAGGTGTTGAGGTACTAACACCTGGTGGCAGTGTTTGGAATTTTTTCAGTCTCATATTTTTCTTTTAATAAAAAATAATGGAATCAAATGTGAATCAGATTTTATTTATGAAGGATTTTTGTCTGTCAATATAAACAAATAAAGGATGACAAATGAAGAGGTAAAAAAAAATCATGTAACACAGATTCCTAGATCCTTATCCTAGTTTTATAATTAAGAACCCTCTGCAAAAAAAGAAAAACTTGTCTGAATTAACTTTAAATATCATCTTGTTAAAATCATATTTTTTTCAAACAATTGTTTTAATTGTATATTAATTATAACAATAAGTGTTGATTATGGCAAACAAATTTACATAAAGTCAACTTCAAGCCAAATTTAAAGTACAATTATGCTACAGATGTAATAAAAGAATCATGATTAATTGATTATTTTTATAATCATCAACTAATTCAGAAATTGATTAGACAGATTTTATTTTGTATACACAAGTGTGAAAATACATTTTGCTAAGAACAGCTCTGTAGACAATTTCATTGTTTTAAAGTGTATTCTTGAATAACAGTAAAAAAATATATATATTGGTTACATAAATTAAACATTAACTGGAGCATAGATACTCTAAAATACACCTTTAGCTGACAGAGAAACCAACTTATAGCAGTAGTTCTATTAAAATTGAAAAAATAATATAAAAATTTTGCATTTAAGATAAAAACATTTTTCTTCTGTCAATATGTTCTATCCAGAACACCTCTAATGGAAAAAAATTAGTTTCATCTTGTTACATTTTGTAAAAAAAAAATTTCTTTAAGAAACCTTTGGCTATCCGATTATTAATCGAAAAAATTCGACAGGTTAATCGATTAGCAAAAATAATCATTAGTTGCAGCCCTAAATTAAAGTTAAAGTTAGGGCTGCAACAAGTTTGCTATCAGCTGTGCTGCTGCCATCAACACCTTTGTTTATAGATGTTGGAGATCTGCCTGTTTTTCCAGTGTAGTCCTGTTTCTCTGACTGTGACTGGCTGGATGTGCTCTCTTCCACCTCTGACATGGGAGCTGGCTCAGAGCTCGTCTGCCTGGCTGTGTATTTCCTGGACGGGGCCGCCTTTTAAAGCTGCTTTTTGTATCTCTGCTTCTGTTTCCTTTAACCCCAGTCGGCCTCAGCAGATGGCCGATCACACAGAGTCTGGTTCTGCTGGAGGTTTCTTCCTGTTTCTTCCTGCATGCTTAGTGTGAGAAATTGCATCCCAGTCAATGAGTTGATGCAATCAACTGGTTTTCTTTAGATAGAAAACTTTGAATCAATTTGACTGTATGATCTGGTGAACTGTAAAATGCCTTGAGATGACGTGTTGTGAATTGGCGCTATAGAAATAAACTGAATTGAATTGCATTGGGGAAAAAATGGCAAAACCAAAACATAATACGTTTTCCAGTGGTCAAAATATGTCTGCTTTAACATCAATATGACATCAAACACTGATATCAAATTCTCATCATAATCAGCTTGACATCAATCCTTTTACATAAACTTAAAGTATATCAAATAATGATGTCATTATGATGTTCTTTAAATGGATGCTTCTTTGAAATGTCACTCAAATAATTATATTGATGTTGTTTTTATGTCAAACCTTTGCAGTAAAATAATTTATTTTGTTGTTAAAGACTACTTTTAGGTATCTAAAGACTACTTTAGTGGTATTTATTTTTAAAAGCAGGCAGACAGAGACAGAGAAGAGGTAGACATGCATGAAAGGGCAGACCTGGACTCAAACTTGTGACCACTGGGTCAAGGACTAAAACCCGTGTTCATGGTTGCATGCTTAACCCCTGCTCCACCGCCTCACCTTCAGATAAAATAACTCAAAAGTATGCACAGATGGAAAGAGCCTGCTTCTAATGCAAACTAAATTCTCTTCTCTTAGATGAACCTGTGGTCTCACAGGATCTTTATCACATTAAAAACTGTTTGTCCTGCGATATTAATATTACCTAAATGAAACCAGTTCTCTCTGAAATACAAACAAGACATTGAATGAGATCCTTTTCTCTACAGTGTTTCATAAATATTACCTTTAGAATAGCAACTGTAGAAAGTATTTTGTCTCTAAGTTACTGTGCTCTATATTTGCTATATTGCTTCTATAGTCCTCCGACAGCTTGCCCTCTGAAATATCAAATATGCAAGTATAACAAAACATTTTTATTCTGATCTGCACATACGTATATTGATTTAAATTACTTTATTTGAAGAGACTCATATTCACAGGCTTTGGTCCTTGATGAGGAAGACACAGCTTTGAGTCCCAGTCAGGTGACTTTTTCTGTGTGTCTTCATGCATTATCATTTGAGTCTAATGACCAAGAAGCTTGACACTGAAAAAAATGTCAAAATGACTAAATTCAGTTTTCTATGCAGCAGGTTTTATAGGTATGCTTCAAACTGTGAATTGTACCGACAGAGAAAAGGCTTAACCTTAACCTTTGGCTGTGTTCTTTTTAGTTTAAATTTTTATCAAAGGTTAAAAC